CCGGGGTCTGGCCCCTTTCCCGTGGGGATATCCTGGGATCTGCCCCTTCCCTGAGGGGATATCCTGGGATCTGCCCCTTTCCCTGGGGGGATATCCTGGGATCTGCCCCATTCCCTGTGGGGATATCCTGGGATCTGCCCCTTTCCCTCTGGGACGACTCTGGGATCTGCCCCTTCCCTGTGGGGACACCGGGGTCTGGCCCCTTTCCCGTGGGGATATCCTGGGATCTGCCCCTTCCCTGTGGGGACACCGGGGTCTGGCCCCTTCCCTGGGGGATATCCTGGGATCTGCTCTATTCCCTGTGGGGATATCCTGGGATTTGCCCCATTCCCTGTGGGGATATCCTGGGATTTGCCCCATTCCCTGTGGGGTATCCTGGGATCTGCCCCCTTTCCTTGTGGGAACAGGGGGTTGGGATGGAGACTCTGGGGTCTGCAGCTGTTCCTTGTGGGAGCACTCTGGGATCTGCCCTGGTCCATGTGGGGGGACTCTGGGATCGACCCATTCCCTGTGCGGATATCTTGGGATCTGTCCCCTTTCCTGTGGGAACAGGGGTTGGGGATGGGGACTGTGGGATCTGCCTGGTTCCCTGTGGGGATATCAGGGGATCTGCTTTATTCCCTGTGGGAATAGGGATTTGGGATGGGCACTCTGGGATCTGCCCTGTTCCCTGTGGGGATATCAGGGGATCTGCCCTGTTCCTTGTGAGAGCAAGGGTTTGGGATTGGGACTGTGGGATCTGCCCCCGTTCCTTGTGGGAGCACTTTGGGATCTGCCTTGTTCCCTGTGGGAGCAGGGATTTGGGATGGGGATGTTGGGTGGTGGCTTCTGTCCATCCTTGGGTGAGAACCAGTTATCCAGTGGGAATTCTCTCCAGGCAGTGTGTGGAATTATCCCAATAAGAACTCTCTCGTGTGGGGTTATCCCATGGGAACTCTCTTGAGCAGTGTTTGGGGTTATCCAAGCAGGAATTCCCTGCTCCAGGCAGTGTTTGTAGTTATCCCATGGGAACTCTCCCGGGCAGTACGGGGTTATCCCATGGGAATTCTCTCATATGGGGTTATCCCATGAGAGCTCTCCCGGGCAGTGTTTTTGGTTATCCAGGCAGGAATTCCCTGCTCCAGGCAGTGTTTTTGGTTATCCCATGGTCTCTCTCTGGGCAGTGTTTGGGGTTATCCAAGCAGGAATTCCAGGCAGTGTTTGGGGTTATCCAGGCAGGAATTCCCTGCTCCAAGCAGTGTTTGGGGTTATCCAAGCAGGAATTCCAGGCAGTGCTTTTGGTTATCCAAGCAGGAATTCCCTGCTCCAGGCAGTGTGTGGGGTTATCCCATGTTTTCTCTCTCAGGCAGTGTTTGGGGTTATCCGAGCAGGAATTCCAGGCAGTGTTTTTGGTTATCCAGGCAGGAATTCCCTGCTCCAGGCAGTGTTTTTGGTTATCCAAGCAGGAATTCCCTGCTCCAGGCAGTGTTTTTGGTTATCCAGGCAGGAATTCCCTGCTCCAGGCAGTGTTCTTGGTTATCCAGGCAGGAATTCCCTGCTCCAGGCAGTGTTTTTGGTTATCCAAGCAGGAATTCCCTGCTCCTGGCAGTGTTTTTGGTTATCCAGGCAGGAATTCCCTGCTCCAGGCAGTGTTTTTGGTTATCCCATGGTCTCTCTCTGGGCAGTGTGTGGGGTTATCCAAGCAGGAATTCCCTGCTCCAGGCAGTGTTTTTGGTTATCCAGGCAGGAATTCCCTGCTCCAGGCAGTGCTTTTGGTTATCCCTGCTTTCTCTCCGGGCAGTGTGCGGGCAGTCCACGGGCGGCGTGGAGGACGAGGGCGAGTCGCAGGCGGGCTGGATCGAGGGCGCTGCCATCCTGTTCTCCGTCATCATCGTGGTGCTGGTGACGGCCTTCAACGACTGGAGCAAGGAGAAGCAGTTCCGGGGCCTCCAGAGCCGCATCGAGCAGGAGCAGAAGTTCACGGTGATCCGCAAGGGCCAGGTGATCCAGATCCCCGTGGCCGAGATCGTGGTGGGCGACATCGCCCAGATCAAGTACGGTGAGTGGGGCTGGGCTGGGCTCCCCCCTTGGAGACTCTGAAGCACAGTAGAAACTTTCCAGAGTGGAAATTCCATTTTGATTTAGGTGAAATGTGCGTTTTTGAGTTGTCTGTAGTTAGGAAACAGCCTGATTGCAAAAGCCTAAGCTCAGAGAAACTATAGGACACAAAAGAAGACAAGCTCACATCACTGTTCTCAAGGTGAAGAAGAAAAAAGGAAGTTTATTTTCTGGCTCTAACATTTATAGTTTTCTAAAAGTGACAGTGGATTGGAGGGTGACAGTGCCACCTCTCCAATGACACTGGACAAACCAACAGCCCATTGTGGTGGGTGACATCACCCAGATCAAGTACGGTGAGTGGGGCTGGGCTCCCCCCTTGGAGACTCTGAAGCACAGTAGAAACTTTCCAGAGTGGAAATTCCATTTTGATTTAGGTGAAGTGTACGTTTTTGAGTTGTCTGTAGTTAGGAAACAGCCTGATTGCAAAAGCTTAAGCTCAGAGAAACTATCACTATAGGACATGAAAGAACACAAGCTCACACCGCTGTGCTCAAGGTGAAGAAGAAAAAAGGAAGTTTATTTTCTGACTCTAACATTTATAGTTTTCTAAAAGTGACAGTGGATTGGAGGGTGACAGTGCCACCTCTCCAATGACACTGCACAAACCAGCAGTCCATCAGTGGATTGGAGGGTGACAGTGCCACCTCTCCAATGACACTGGACAAACCAACAGTCCATTGTGGTGGGTGACATCGCCCAGATCAAGTACAGTGAGTGGGGCTGGGCCACCCCTTGGAGACTCTGAAGCACAGTAGAAACTTTCCAGAGTGGAAATTCCATTTTGATTTAGGTGAAATGTGCGTTTTTGAGCTGTCTGTAGTTAGGAAACAGCCTGATTGCAAAAGTCTAGGCTCAGAGAAACTATCACTATAGGACACGAAAGAACACAAGCTCACACCGCTGTTCTCAAGGTGAAGAAGAAAAAAGGAAGTTTATTTTCTGACTCTAACATTTATAGTTTGCTAAAAGCGACAGCGGATTGGAAGGGTGACAGTGCCACCTCTCCAATGACACTGGACAAACCAACAGCCCATCAGTGGATTGGAGGGTGACAGTGCCACCTCTCCAATGACACTGGACAAACCAACAGTCCATTGTGGTGGGTGACATTGCCCAGATCAAGTACAGTGAGTGGGGCTGGGCTGGGCTCCCCCCTTGGAGGCTCTGAAGCACAGTAGAAACATTCCAGAGTGGAAATTCCATTTTGATTTAGGTGAAATGTGAATTTTTGAGCTGTCTGTAGTTAGGAAACAGCCTGATTGCAAAAGCCTAAACTCAGAGAAACTATAGGACACAAAAGAACACAAGCTCACACTGCTGTTCTCAAGGTGAAGAAGAAAAAAGGAAGTTTATTTTCTGACTCTAACATTTATAGTTTGCTAATAGTGACAGTGGATTGGAGGGTGACAGTGCCACCTCTCCAATGACACTGGACAAACCAACAGTCCATCGTGGTGGGCGACATCACCCAGATCAAGTACAGTGAGTGGGGCTGGGCTCCCCCCTTGGAGACTCTGAAGCACAGTAGAAACTTTCCAGAGTGGAAATTCCATTTTGATTTAGGTGAAATGTGAATTTTTGAGTTGCCTGTAGTTAGGAAACAGCCTGATTGCAAAAGTCTAGGCTCAGAGAAACTATAGGACACAAAAGAAGACAAGCTCACGCCGCTGTTCTCAAGGTGAAGGGAAAAAAGGGAAGTTTATTTTCTGACTCTAACATTTATAGTTTGCTGAAAGTGACAGTGGATTGGAGGGTGACAGTGCCACCTCTACAATGACACTGGACAAACCAACAGTCCATTGTGGTGGGTGACATCGCCCAGATCAAGTACGGTGAGTGGGGCTGGGCTGGGCTTCCCCCCTTGGAGACTCTGAAGCACAGTAGAAACATTCCAGAGTGGAAATTCCATTTTGATTTAGGTGAAATGTGCGTTTTTGAGTTGAGTCTGTAGTTAGGAAACAGCCTGATTGCAAAAGCCTAGGCTCAGAGAAACTGTCACTATAGGACACGAAAGAACACAAGCTCACACCGCTGTTCTCAAGGTGAAGAAGTTTATTTTCTGATCTAACATTTATAGTTTTCTAAAAGCGACAGCGGATTGGAAGGGTGACAGTGCCACCTCTCCAGTGACACTGGACAAACCAACAGTCCATCAACGTTCTCCTCCTCCATAAAGAAATGCAAAACAATGAGTTATTTACAGAAAGTGTGTGAGAAAGCTCACTACAAGAATGTCAACATCAGAAGGCTTAGAAAATCNAATTAATTCCTTTGTTTATACTTTATTCATTTATAATTTATTTATTTATACTTTAATTATGTTTTATAATGTATATATTATTTATTTATATTGTAGTTGTTTATACTTTATATAATTTCTATTACTTATTTGTCTCTATTTATAGGTCTATTTTATTGATTTGTTTATGCTTTATTTATACTTTATTTTAATTGAATTTTATTGATTTGTTTATACTTTTATTTATTTTATAGTTTATTTTCAATTTTATTTAATTTTATTGATTTGTTTATATCTTATTTTTTATTTTTATTTTATTTATTTGTTTATACTTTATTTATAGTTTATTTTTATTTTATTGATTTGCTTATACTTTATTTATAGTTTATTTTCAATTCTATTTTATCTATTTGTTTATAATTCATTCATTTTTATTTTTATTTTTATTTTATTTATTTGTTTATACTTTATTTTATAGTTTATTTTAAATTTAATTTTATTTGTTTATACTTTATTTATTTTTATTTTATTTTAATTTAATTTTATTTGTTCATACTTTATTAATTTTATAGTTTATTTTCAATTCTATTTTATCTATTTGTTTACAATTTATTCATTTTTAATTTTTTCTAATTTTTTATTTTATTTGTTTATACTTTATTAGCTTTTATTTTATTTTAATTTTAATTATTTGTTCATACTTTATTTATTTTATAGTTTATTTTCAATTTGATTTTATCTATTTGTTTATAATTTATTCATTTTTATTTTTTCTAATTTTTTATTTTATGTGTTTATAATTTATTTTATGGTTTACTTTTAATTTTATTTTATTTATATGCTTATATTTATACTTTATTTTTATTTTTATTT